AACAACAAAAAAAAAACAACGAAAAAAAGAAAAAACCAACCCCGAAATTCTCTAAAAACGGAGAAATTCCCTCAAAAGTTCAGGAGCTGATCTCGGTGGGGTTCAGGGCGCGACAAGGGACCGGTGACAAGGGACAGGTGACATTCCCACGCTGCCCCGCCCTTCCCGTACCCCCCCCCCCCCAGCTCCGGAATTCCCGCAAATCCCAAAACAGCGCGGGATCAGAGCTGCTCCTTTGGCCCACACCGGCCCTGGGGACATCGGGGGTGTCCCCAAAGTGTCCCCGAGCCGGGTTTGGGTCCCGATGGGGGGGGGCAGGGAGGGGAAAGGAGAGGAAGGACGGGGCTTCTCGGGGGTGTTCCGGGGGTGTCCCCCTGTCCCGGGGGTGTCCCCGTGGTGTCCCCCCGTGTCCCACCGTGTCCCCCATGTCCCCTCCAGGCTGGGAGGTGACACCGGAGCCGTTCCCGAGCGAGGGCCGAAGATTCCTGGGGCGGATCCGGCCGGGACCGGGACCCCACCAAGGTCAGCGGGGCCGCTCCGGCTCCTCCGGACCCCCTGTCCGGACCCTCCCCTGACCCCCTGACCCAATGCCCACTCCCTGCCCCGTGTCCACCCCGTGTCCTGCCCCGTGTCCACCGCGTGTCCACCCCGACTCCTGCCCCGTGTCCTCCCCATGTCCACCCCGACTCCTGCCCCGTGTCCGCCCCGTGTCCACCCCGACTCCTGCCCCGTGTCCACCCCGTGTCCTGCCCCGTGTCCCCCCCTGACCCCGGCCGTGTCGTGGCGCAGATGGAGCCCGAGGAGGACACTCGCGAGATCCTCCTGCCCAACTGGGAGGGCAGCGGCTCCCACGGCATCACCATCGCCCAGACTGACCACGGCGTCTTCGTCCGCTGCGTCCAGCAGAACTCTCCGGCCGCTCGCATGGGCGTGGTCAAGGAAGGTGAGGACACTCGGGGGGGCTTCGGGGACACTCGGGGCCATCCTGGTGGCATCTCCTGCCTCTGTCCCCATTGTGTGGTGACCTCATAGTCACTCAGGTGGGGACAGGGGGCTCATCCCTGAGGGTTTTGGGTTTCAAAATCGGATTGGGGTTTTTTTCACCATTCTGGTGACAATTGAGGTGTTTTATTTTTCCATCCCTGTGGGAAATGACCCCATGGTCACTCATGATGGGGACAGGGGGCTCTCTCCCTGTGTCCCCCCCCACCCCTTTACAACGCACTGACCTGGCCGTCCCCTGTCCCCGTCCCCAGGGGATCAGATCGTCAGCGCCACCGTGTACTTCGACAAGCTGCAGTCGGGGGAGGCGGCGCAGCTGCTGCAGAGCATGGGGCAGCACACGCTGGGGCTGCGGCTGCAGCGCCGCGGGGACCGCACCGGACACGGCTGTGACCAGCTCGGCCTGGCACCCGGCAGCCCCGAGGTCGTGCTGGTGAGTGGCGGGCACGGGGACGGGGAGGAGAGGATGGGGGAGGAAGAGGAGGAACAAGGATGGTGGGGAGGATGGGGACAGGGATGAGGATGGGGATGAGGAGGGGAGGAAGCAGCGCCCCGGCGCTCACCGTTGCCGTGCCCTGCCCGCAGAGCGGTGATGATGAGGAGTACCAGCGCATCTACACCACCAAAATCAAACCGCGGCTCAAATCCGAGGAGGGTGCAGAGGCCGAGGCCGGGGGGACGCAGAGCAGAACCATCACGGTCACCCGCAGGGTCACCGCCTACACCGTGGACGTCACCAGCCACGACGGCGACCTCAGCGTCACCGACCTCAACGTCCGCATCCCCACGCCCGAGCTCGGGACGCCTGAGGGGCTTCACCTGCCCCAGAGCCAAAATCCTGCTGGAGAAACTGGAAAATCCCTCCCGGGCTGGAAAGGCCCCAGCGCCTCGGCGGGGTCGCCGCGGATCGAGGCCAATGGACAGTTTGGGGAGCTGGACGGGTCATTCCACGCCACGGGTCACGTGTCCGGCGGGGCTCCGTGTCCACAGGGGGAGGTCACTGTCTCATCCCCGCCCGGGGATGTGGGGAAAATCAAGATCCCGGCGTTAAAAATCCCCAAATTCGGGTTCCAGGCTGGCGGTGAAGCCCCACAGGTGGACGTGGGAATGGACGTCACCTGCTCGGCCGTTCCCTCCCCGTCCGGCAAGGCCCCAGTGCCGCAGGTGGACATGGCAGTCAAAAGTGCCACCAAGGTCCCCTCCCCTCCGCTGGATGTCCCCAGTGTGGAGCTCCCGGACGGTGCCAAGGGGAAAATCAAAATCCCGCACTTGACCTTCCCCAAATTCACAGCCCAGGGCGATGGAGCCACCGTGGAGGCACCCAAGGGCGTGGCCGTCCCCGAGGTGGAAGGAGAATGGAAAGGCCCCACCTTCAAGAAGGTGGAAACGCCCCAAATTTCGCTGTCGGACGTGACCCTGAACCTGAGGGGCCCCAAAGGGGAAGGGGACCTGACAGGACTCGGCCCCAAGGGGCTCCAGGTGGACGTGGCCGGGCCAGGGGGTGGCCTGAAGGGCGTGGAGATGGATGTCAGCATGAAGGGCTTGAAGGGAGGAGTGGACGTGTCCGTGCCGAGCGTGGGGGCAGAATTGAGGCAGCCTCAACTGGACCTTAAAGGGCCCCAAATTGGGGTGGAGGTGCCTGGAGTGGACATCAAAGGCCCCACGGTGAAGGTGCCTGAGGTGAGCGTCAAGAGCCCCCAAATCTCCGTGCCCGACGTCGACCTGAGCCTCAAAGGGCCCGGAGTGAAGGGAAATCTGGATGTTTCTGCCCCAAAACTGGAAGGGGAGCTGAAGACCCCTGGACTGGACATCAAAGGCCCCAAAGTGGAGGTTGGGAGCCCAGAAATGGAGATCCACGGGCCCGAGGGCAAACTGAAATTCCCCAAACTGAAAATGCCCAAATTTGGGGTGAAGGGAGAGAGCCCCGACCTGGAGGTGACGCTGCCCAAAGAGGGGGTGGACGTCTCCGGCCCCAAGGTGGACATCAGCATCCCCAGCGTGGACATCAAGGGCCCCAAAGTGGACATTGAAGCACCTGATGTTGACGTTCATGGCCCTGAGGGAAGATTCAAAATGCCCAAATTCAAGATGCCCAAATTTGGGATGCCCGGGGTGAAGGCAGAAGGGCCCGAGGTGGACGTGAACGTCCCCAAAGCCGACCTGGAGGTGTCCGGCCCCAAGGTGGATGTTGAGGCACCGAGCTTGGACATCCAGGGGGCTGAAATGCACCTCAATGCCCCCAAAATCTCTGTGCCGGACACTGCCCTGACCCTGAACGGTGCCAAGGCCAGCGGTGACCTGGACCTGTCCGTGCCAGGTTTGAAGGGCCCCGAGCTGGACATCAAAGGCCCCAAAGTCGAGGTTGCGGCCCCAGAGTTGGACGTCCAAGGGCCTGAAGGCAAACTAAAGTTCCCCAAACTGAAAATGCCCAAATTTGGGGTGAAGGGAGAGAGCCCCGACCTGGAGGTGACCCTTCCCAAGGGCAGAGTGGACGTTTCGGGTCCTGGCGTGGCTGTTGAGGTCCCCGGCGTGGACATCAAAGGCCCCACGGTGAAGGTGCCCGAGGTGAGCATCAAAACTCCCCAAATCTCCATGCCCGACATCGACCTGAACCTCAAAGGGCCCAAAATCAAGACAGATTTGGACGTTTCCTCCCCAAAAGTGGAAGGGGAGCTGAAAACCCCCGGGCTGGACATCAAAGGCCCCAAAGTCGAGGTTGCAGCCCCAGATTTGGACATCCAGGGGCCCGAGGGCAAACTGAAGTTCCCCAAACTGAAAATGCCCAAATTTGGGGTGAAGGGAGAGAGCCCCGACCTGGAGGTGACGCTGCCCAAGGGGGAGGTGGAGGTTTCTGCTCCCAGGGTGGACATCGATGTCCCAAGCATGGACGTGGAAGGGCCAGAGGTCAAAGGGAAAGGCCTCAAGTTCAAAATGCCCGAGCTCAACGTTCAGACCCCAAAACTCTCCATGCCAGACGTGGATCTGGGCTTGAAGGCCCCGAAACTGAAAGGGGACGCTGGAATTCCTGGGCTTAAGGGCCCCAAAATCGACGTGAAAGGCCCCAAAGTGGACATGGAAGGTGCCAAAATGGACGTGAAGGGTCCCAGGTTGGATGTGGAAGGTCCCAAGTTGGATGTGGAAGGTCCCAAGTTGGATGTGGATGTGCCTGAGGTGGACTTGGAATGTCCAGAAGGGAAGATGAAAGGCCCCAAGTTCAAGATGCCAAAACTCAACATCAAATCCCCCAAAATCTCGATGCCGGATGTGGATTTAAACCTGAAGGGACCCAAAGTGAAGGGAGAGGTGGACGTGTCCCTCCCCAAGGTCGAGGGTGACATCAAGGGGCCAAAGGTGGACGTGGAGGTCCCGGATGTCCACCTGGAGGGTCCAGAGGCCAAACTGAAAATGCCCAAAATGAAATTGCCTCATTTCAACGTGTCCGGCCCCAAAGTGGAAGGGCCTGAGGTGGACGTGACCCTGCCCAAGGGAGAGGTGGAGGTGTCTGGGCCGGAGGTGGACATTGAGGGACCCGAGGTGGACATTGGAGGAGCGGAAGGGAAATGGAAGGGTCCCAAATTCCGGATGCCAAAGCTGAACATCAAATCCCCCAAAATCTCGATGCCGGATGTGGATTTGAACCTGAAGGGACCCAAAGTGAAAGGAGAGGTGGACGTGTCCCTCCCCAAGGTGGAAGGGGACGTGAAAGTGCCAGAAATGGACATTAAAGGGCCAAAAGTGGATGTTGAGATGCCCGGGGTGGCTTTGGAGGGTCCTGAGGGGAAGATCAAAGGCCCCAAGTTCAAGATGCCCGAGATGCACATAAAGACCCAGAAAATCTCCATGCCCGATGTGGACATCAACCTGAAGGGCCCCAAGGTCAAGGGCGACGTGTCAATCCCAAAGCTCGAGGGTGAACTGAGGGGCCCAGAACTGGACATCAAAGGCCCCAAAGTGGACATTGAGGCCCCCGATGTTGACATTCATGGGCCTGAGGGAAAATTCAAGATGCCCAAATTCAAGAT